CTAACCAAACTTATCCAACGTGTCACGACGCGAACTGTCATCGCCGCGAAAGTTCAGAGCGCGACTTCGACTTCGACTTCGTGCGAGGCTGCAAGATTAGAAATTCTAGCGCCTCTTGTGTCAGAAATTGTAAAAGTACACTTCCCCCACTCCGCAACTGGTCGACGATAATGACGTTTCTTAATCTGAAATTCCTACATTTCGGACTTTGCATTGCAATATCTCCGCTCGTAGGACATGTAGAAAAAAAATAAACACACTTTCATTATATAAGTCGAACCAAAATTATCGATTAAGTCTAGTTAGAACTTAATCAGTTCGACCGTTATTGAGATCTCAAAATCTCGGGTGCTCGCAACGCGACGGCTCGCGTTAAGAGACCCGGCATGGCTTGTTTGAACACTTGACACCAAGCCACTACCGTGTCTCCTGATTCACAAGATCTTATATATATATATGTATGTGAAAAGGCAGTTTTCAGGACGACTTTTAGCATGCATCGGCAGTTTTGAGGACTTGTGGTAGTTATCAGGTACGACCTGAAACCTATATATGTGTATCGGCAGTTTTAAGAACCGTCCTGAAAACAACCATTATTTTAGTTTTTTATATAAAGTCCTTAAAACTGCCAATATATTGTTACGCCCGGGGCGGTGAATGTCGCGTTCACGCACTCGCGTTCGCGCACGCGCACCGGAAGGCCGCGGAGAAATAAGAAGGAACACCAATTAAGAACACAAGGAACACGCTTTATTCTAATGACTGTAAACAAACAACGCAGCGAATAGACAGAACAGAGCTCAGCACGTCCGAACGAGTCGACGGCTCGTCTCCAAATCTGATATGTCGTCCGTTTGACAGATGACAACGCGTCGTTAGGGAAACATCCGACAGCTGGACCGGCTCGCTGGTACATCGAACGACGCGGGTGTAGACACGGGCGCAACACTGCCCTCCCTCTTCTAGATTGTCGTCCCGACAATCAGGGCTCTCATATGAAGGACCTCAGGGTTTTCTGATGGTTTCCTGCTCTACCCTGTGCTGCTGCAGCAGGTTACCGAGCACCATCTCTTCTTAATGATAAACCCAATCCTTTAATCCTTCTTCGAACTTCCGAGCAGGACCCTTTTTGTCTCTTTCCCGAAAGGTGATCAATCCTCCAGGCCTTAGACTTCAGGCATCCTCTCCTTTCCTGGAAGCCGATTCTCTCGCCCTCCTGTGTCTTGATCTTGCGTCTTGACTCTTCAGTCTTGAATCTTCGGACAAGGGGGGGAATTACTCTGTGGTACCCAACATGCGTTAAGCACTCCCATGTCCCTGTCTCGGCATTTGCCCTAAGTCTCACGGAAAAACCACTATCAAAAACCGTGAGCGAGACAGTCTTCTTAAAAAAAGAAACTCCGCACGGCGGCATTTTACTGCTGCTCCCTCGTTTTTCTTTTCTTCCTCCAGGCAGTTGCCTCCATAAATTCGTTCTCTATCCGTTCCAGTTCACGCCAATCATCTTAGGGAGACTTCATCCGCCGTGTATTATAACTGAAAGTAAATCAAACACGCAGTAAACATAATAAATACAAAAACAAACTATACATTCTAAAAGCACACG